CAAAGCTCATCACAACGATTATCACAACAAATCCATCTGTGCTATGTGACTTTCTACAGCATAAAATGTACTTGTTGTATATCTATGAGTATTATAATAATCCACTATTGTTAAAAGAAAAAAGAACAATTGTAAACAAAGGAAGAACAAAAGAATTTTAAATCTGTTCCAACATGTTAACTCTTCTTTGTTTGATTATGTTCTTTGTTACTAATTGAGCTACTATGTTCAAAATTTTTATTGCACTTCTGTCTTCTAGTCTTTTCTTTTCTGCCTGTGTATTTAGAATGTTAATGTGTATCACCACAATCAATTGGTACTTATTTTTCTCTACTACTGTGGGGTAACTTGCTATCTATGTTGTTAATTTTCAAACAGTAATATATGTATGGTTTTTATTTTTGTTGTCACAGGGACGATGTTAGTCCTCACCCTCAAGAAGGTGAGGACTTGCCACACACCTGAATATTTAAATAAAGCAATATATTATATTATTTCTAAAAGTAATAAACTGCAATCATGTGAAAAGATATTGCTTTTCATATAAACAAATATTCGATTCTAATCAAGAAAAACATTTGAATCTCTCTATCTTAAATAATCGAATGTTCATCATAAACATCGTATAGGTCACACAATATAATATGTTTCTTTCTTTTTCATTTCACACAGACGTGTTGTTATTCATGTAAACATTATAGTATCACAATGATTTTTTTTCTCCCTAAGAAGAATTGAGAGATAGTAGAATAGTAGTATATTAAATTAAATTAATTCTTTTATTTTCTATGATAGAAAAGTGTCAAAAAAAGAAACACGCACAATTACATCTTCATTCGAATTTTTTCAAATGTTTCTTTATATTCCAACAAATGTGGATGAGTTGAAGGTAATTTTTCTTGAGCAATTTCTATCGCTTGTTGAACATTGGTCATTGCCATACTATATTTTCGAGTAGATAAATATAATTTTCCCATATTATGATATACAACTGCTAAATCAGGATGATCTTTTGGTAATTTCTGCTCACGTATTTCTAATCCTTTTTGAAAATATGTTAATGCTGTTGAATAATCTTTCATTTCTCGATATGTTTCACCTAAATTTATATATGTTAATGCACATTCCAGAGGATTACATTGAACATTTTCTTGAATATTTAATGCTTTTCGATGAAATGAAAGTGCTTTTTCATAATCACCCATTAATCGATGAACATCACCAATGTCACTATATGTAGTAGCTCGATTTGGATGATTTTCAGGTAAAGCTTTCTTTCGAATTGAAAGACACTTTTCGAAATTCTCAAGTGCTTTTGGATAATCTTTCATGTCACGATATATATTTCCAAACCACTTATATGGAAAAGCTAAATTAGGATGATTCGCAGGGAGAACTTGCTTTGTGATTTCCAAGTCCTTTTTAGAATATTTAAGTGCTTTCGAGTAGTCACCCATATTGAAGTACACTACACCAATGTTGTTGTAGGAACTAGCCAATGAGGGATGATTTGGAGGCAGAGCGTTTTCTCTTATTTTAAGTGCTTTCTCGTAATATTCAAGTGCTTTCGAATAGTCAGCCATGTTGCTATAGACTCCACCAATACAGGAGAAAGACGTAGCCAATGAGGGATGATTCGGAGGCAGAGCTTTTTCTCTTATTTTAAGTGCTTTCTCGTAATATTCAAGTGCTTTCGAATAGTCACCCATGTTGCTATAGACTCCACCAATACAGGAGAAAGACGAAGCCAAATAGGGATGAGAGGGAGGCAGAGCTTTTTCTCTTATTTTAAGTGCTTTCTCGTAATATTCAAGTG